ATAAAAAGAAGGAGAGGGAAGTGAAAACAGAGGAAAAAACAGTTCCAGCTCTACAAGTTTAAGTTTATCCTTCCTTGAGTTTAAGAAGGATTCCTGGAGGAATGCCTTCATAGCTTTATAGCGTGACTGCGACTGCTCCTTTCCATCAAACACATGGGACTCATTTACCCTTGTAGGCCACAGTGATGGTGCCACAAACACCAGGGCCTGCAGGAAGGGAAGAGTGGGAAGAGGGAAAAAAGCATAAGGAGTGGGTGGGGTGATTCGTCGTTTTACAATGCCAGTTTCCCAAAGGACATGGTGGCTGGCGCATTATGGATCATCATTTCCCTTGTTGTGGATGACAACCAAATGTGTTTCACTTCTAGTTTCTAAGTACTATCGAAAGGAGCCCCATAATTCTGATTAATTGAGGCAGTGATCGCTCATCACTTTTACTCAAGCTGAGTTAAGCAATGGAATAATTTTCTTAATAGTTTGAGTTCTGACTCAGTTCTGAACAAATGAAACAAAAGTAAATGGGAAAATGGTTGTTGTAAGCTTTAATACAAGGTCCTGTAATTAGTTGTGTTGCCTGACTGAGCTTTGGTGAGAGCTGTTCAAACAGGCCGGAGCTGAAATGCCACCAACCCTGTGCAGAGAAAGGCCTGCTGACAGCCTGTATAAACACTTGCATTTTTCCCCCACTATAATCTCATGTTCTCTTAAAAACAGCAACCAGTGGATTCCTAGGAAGGGTATGTTTACCCTTTTATCTTTTTTACTTCAACTTTAATGTGTAGCTGATTTGTGAGGTTTTGTCCGTTTATAATGATGATTAGGGACTTATATTTTTTAAATACCATTTTAACAGTAACACCTGACAATAGATAAAGTCAGTATGGCGTGTTAAGTTAAAACAATGTGATTGCTTTGCTTTTAAAGCTTTTAAATAACCGGGTTCCAAATGCCCATGCCAACCAGCATCTTATACCTACTTAGTTTTAGAGGGTTTATAGTTCAGAAAGCATCCCTACCATGATATTATATCAACCAGATTGTTATTTGTCTCTGGGGCCCTAAAGGTGTCCTCTCTGCTGCATCAAAGGACCGATTCATATTCTAATATAATTAATTCCAGCCTAACCAGACCAACTAACCAGCAGCTCTCTAAAGAGTCCTTTATATGGCCTGTGAAAATGGGGCTGGAGGATTCATGTTGTTCTGAGTTTAAGAAAAGTCACACCAGGCATTGAAAAATAATACAAAAATGAAAGATTCCCTATACACAGGTTTTTCCTCATTCTATACTGTATGAGCTGGGCTTCCTGAGACAGTAGATTCTGTTGGAATAAGCCTATCAATATAGAAGTACATATACCCCCAAATTGCGCATTCTATGCCTGCAAATTATTTAATGCTTTTATTGTGGAATTCAAAAGCAAAATGTGTTTGTGGTGCTATTACACAGGAGTCCAGGGATCATATTCAACAGTTAATTAGGTTTTCAATGATCTAATGGGAGTCACATTTTTACCCATGACAACAGCTTTACAGTTTTGAGTTTCTGTTTAACTAGCATGGAATAATAGCTAAGAAAGCAACTCATTTTTGTTTTTAATTGCATAATTTTTTCTCATGCTACGATGAGATTTGCAGACAAAACTGCACATTCATTGATGGGTTGTGCTCCTTTAACCTCTTATCCAGTGAATATATATATATATGTGTCTCTTTACCACAAATGTACTGAAACTTATTGATGAGGTACAGAAACCTTCCATCTCTACAGAAAAATAAATCAGATTGGGAGTGGGTATCGATTTTGTTGTAGTGATAAGGCAAAGTCATTCTTGTACCTGCAGGAGGTAGAGTTTAAGATTATAAAAAATATCAAACTTGAGTGTGTTCAGAAAGATCAGATTTTCATTTTGAGTACTTTTTCAGGTGACCGTAAAGTTAAATGGACCATATAAATCACTAACATTTCGCTGTGTGATGTAGGCTAAGGACAAAGGAAACCTGCAGCACTCTAGGTAAAAAGAGAATACATAAACATAATGCAAAGCAAATAAGTTAAATGTCAAGAAATTACAAAATAAAAACAATTATCTGGTTGTAGTATTTTGCTTTTTGTTTTTTGTGCCCACACTAAACACTTGTGGGTCAGCATTAATGTTGACTCAACTGATCTGAGTATTGGCAAATGATTGTTATGATAAAAGTCTCAGTAATCAGATTTGTGCTGTGGTTTTTCATGAAGCTTTTCCTGACCTCTTGTTTTACTTTCAGATATCACATTTTGGAAAATAACACATCTACTAATAGGTCTTTTTCCTCACTTTCAAAGAAAAGATTTGGTCTCATTCACAAACCAAAGCATATGTGGCTTAACCTGACAACAGCCAGATGCATGTCTAGCTCCGCCTATCTCCACTCACATACATCTGGGACACCGCCATAGGAATTGCCTTTACTGAAGGCTGGGCCTTATCAAAACTCCTTGCATATGATTGGATAAGCCACTTGTCTGTCATCTTTATCGACGTGCTATTTCAACCACTCACACCGAAGCTAACCCGTGACGCTGTGAGAGCGTCTCTGATTTGATCCTCCATGAGAGCATTCAGCGGGGACACGATGATAACGATGGGGTGCTGCAGTAGTCCCATTTCCTTAACTACCAGAGGAGCCATTTGGTAGATCAAGCTCTTGCCAAATCTGGTCCGGAGAAGGGCGAAAACATTGTTTCCACCAACAAAAGCCTTCAAAGCCGTTCTCTGATGTTCTTTTAATGAAACAATATCAAATAGATTGGACAACAAAGAAGAAATAGCAGCATCAATGCTAACGCTTGCTTTCTCGATGCGAGCCGCCATTGTTGTTGGAATCTCACGGTTTCTCCACTACGTCACATCCAGGAAACACCCGCCCTGCGTCCTGATTGGCCTGACCATAAATTCGGTTGGGGAAATCCCTTTCAATGAGCGGTGTCCCAGATGTATGTGAGTGGAGCTAGACGGAGCTAAACATGCATCTGGCTGTTGTCAGGTTATATGTGGCTTCACATATGAGAAAAAAACGTAAACTTACATAGTACATTACCTGGTTAAAGGTCAGGAAATCTAAATACCCTCTGGGGTTAGAGAGAAATTCACAAATCTGTATTACATACCATTCCAGACGCCAGAAAATAGGTCTTGTGGGCACATGTTCAAAAATTGGTTACAATAATGCTTACAAACTGAAAATACATGTACATTCTTCTGGTTCTCAGAAACGTAACTGGAAACTTATTTCTCAGGAGACTGGGCTGTGTAAGCCTCCTTTATAGCTGACAGTGCTGACCTGGAACCAACCCTGCACACTTGTTAGTGCGGGACCCCCAAATTATTTGTCAAAACTTTTGCCTAAAGCTAATGCTATGTGTTTAACATAAATTATATGTTGAGAGAAAAGAAACACTTAATGTGTATACGTACAGAAAAAAACTTTAAGTGAAGGATTGGATTTGGACAAAGGATCTAGTGTAGGTTTTTTTGTTATACATATTTTGGGCTGATACACAGGAGTAAAGCATAACACAGAAAAATCTATTGGTAAGCATGATATTGATTAGCAAGTGGAAGGTACCCTAAGTACATAGTTTTAGTCCCACAAACAATTTCTGTCTGATAAGAGCTAAAGAAAGGAAAAAAAAAAAAAAAGGTAATTTTTAGAGAAGAGGTGAATAAACCTGACTGAGCTATGCCAGTTCTGTTATTAGAAAAGTATTGTGAAAACCTGCTGGAAGGAAACTATAAAACTCTGACCAAATAAGCAGTTTAAATCTCTATAAAATTGTAGCTTTGACAATATTCTGAGGTGTAGTACACATATAGGTCATAGTAAACATTAATGGTGATTGTCAGGATGTAGTTATGGATTGTTGACCCAAAAGCAGAGGCAGGAAGGCAGAGGTGAATTTCTTTAGATTTAATGAAAGGCAAACTAAAAACAAAGGCAGGTTATCCAAAAATCCAATAATGAAAACGAAGTCCAAACTAACATGAAACCAGGCATCCAAAAATCCAAAAGAATCAAGCATAAAAACTAGTCAAAACGAACTAGAAACCATGGAGAGATCAGGGGAATCACTGTCACAATGAGGAAGACTCAGGAAGACGGAGTTGGAGGAAGTTTGACGAAGTTAGGCAGTGTTTGACAAGGACCCAGCAAAGGGGAACTGAAGAGGGAGGGCTCTTAAAGGAGACTGAGACAAAGAGGGGGCTAATGAGGAAACTGGGAGCAGGTGTGCACAGAACAAGAGAGGGAAAGAGCTAGGGAAGAAGGAGAACATAAGAGGGCAGCAGAGAGCAACAAATAGAAACTGGAAATAACAACAAAACGTTAATAAAATTACTAGGACTATAAAACATTGAGAAGAGAAAACTAAACACTCAAAAGAAAACACAACAGAACCCAGACAAGGACTGTAACTGGAAAAAACCAAAGAACAAAGCAAAATAAAAATAAAACCACTAACATTAGAAAACAAGGAGGAAAGCAAGACAGAATACTCAAAAGAAAAACATAACAGAAACAGAAACCTGACAGTGATATTGTAAAGCTTAGGGTTGCATTTAAGGAAGGAGAGGACGATCAAAAACTAATAACCACACTGGTACTGGGAAGTCCTTTAATAAACACAAACTTTACAAGCCTGGTTGTACGGCTGCTATATTCTCAAACATGAAAAATCCAAAGACAACAGTCAAAACAAACCATAACATTATAAAGAAAAATAGGAAATGAACATCATCTGAATATCTGAGTATCGCTCTACATCACGTCTCCCTCGCTCTCTACAGAGGAGCAGGAACGCATAGCAAAACCAGAGTATCTTAAAGAGACACTACCTAATTAAGACTTACAATATATCTGAGGTATAAAATACAGCGACCATACGACTGAGTTATAAAAGAGAAAAAAAATACGCTGTTAAAATTAATACTGTATAATGCATCTTTCTCTTCCTCTAGGTGTTGTTCGTCAAATAAGGTCTCTGACTGGTCCAAGGGAAACAGTACTGAAACTGTCCATGCGCAACCTGACATCCAACGGGGAATCTACCCAAAGCATCATCAATGTTCACGTGTATGTGTCGGAGTTCTGGTTCTGAGTAGAAGGTAGCAGATTCTACAAAACATATTACAACATCTATTCCTATCACTGTAAATGTCCCTGTTGTAAGCTTATGCCTTAACTCAGTGTCAAAGGTTAAATTGTCTTAAATTGTTTTGACAAAGTCATAACTGCTGACTGATATTGAGATTCAAAGCCTATACCAGCTTCTGAGTAAACTCTTTTATAACAGATTCAAATAAAAGTGCTCAATTGTGGTCATATTGAGAAATGGTATGTCAAGTCATAGATTTTGAAACGCTGTGTGTTTGAAGTGCATGCATTTTCAAAAATGTATCTAATAATAATCATCATAACATTCAACTTTTTTGTATGTTTTATTATCAGTATTATTAAATATATTTTTGTATTTAAGCATTTTTCTAAAGAATAAATTGTATTTTATTTACAGTACTTCTTTTACACTATTCCATAACCATCTACAGAACTTTTTCTTGTTCTTTCCGTTTTTCTTTTTTGTAGTAAAACAATGAAACATTGTAGGTTGCTCGATCTTAGCTGGCTTTTCTACAAGCAAGAAGGAGATCAGCCTTACCAGAATAATTATTCTAATCATAGTTTTCCAAAGGTTATTGTACCACTTTAACTTAAGTTGAGTTCTGCTTCATTATTTCATTTAATAATGTTTATGGATCTTAGGCAGCTCCTTTCTTTAAAATTTACACAGATATTTTAAAACATCAATTTTAGCAGTAGACATCTGCAAATGAATATAGAAAGGTAGAAAATTCTCTTTCAAGACATATTTCCCTAACTCCCCTTAATGAAGGCTGTCAAAGAAGCTAAAAAGACATTTAAACTACAGTTCTGACATTTTTTCTATCTAAAAATCCACCCCTTAAAAGCTACAGTGTTAGTTGAATAAAGTATCCTAGATTAAAATTTTATTAGTTCAATTTAAAACAGTTTCCAGCGCTATTGTGTTTTGACCATGCAGGTCATTAGTATTTGAAGCAATGTTATGTTAGAGGAGTTAATGAAAAACAAAGTTTTATTCCTGAATGAATGTGATTTTACTGTCACAGTATATCAGCTTTCTCAAAATAGTTTGACCTCTCAAATATTTAAAAAAGTGTATACTCACTTTTAGGTTTAGCTCCAATTAAATACCATATATAGAACCAAAAAGCTATTAGAATTTTTTTTTTTTGTATTTTAAGAATATTTTTCCAAGTAGGTCCAATTCAATTCAGTTTATATAATAAATTTACAACAGGTCATCTCAAGGAACTTTACAGACAAAATTCAACAAGATAATACCGTCAAAGTCTTTTCCTCTCCGTCAACTTGAAGGCAATCCCTCACACAAAGCATGCTTGTAGCGACAGTTGAGAGGAAAAACTCACTTTTAACAGGAAGAAACCTCCAGCACAACTAGACTCAGTGTGAGCGGCCAGTTTCGGCAACTGGATGTGAAGTTCCTAGAAGACATTTCACCTCTTATCCAAGAGACCTGTTCAATCCTGGAAAAAAAATTTTCAACTGAGGAGGTGGTCTTAAGACATAACCTGTTCCCTATTTATAAAGCAATTTTAAGAAGAATACACAGAAGATTCACCTCTGATCTGCCCTCACCTGAGTAACACTTCAAAGAGGCCTTTGACTGAAACCACTCTGACGAGGGAGTTAACAACCCATAAGAACCCCCTAACCTCACATCTATTTGCTGAAAGGTATACTATGCAACCGGTGTTGATTTTCCAGCGAGGCTCCCCCAAGAGGGTGAAAGTAAAAGTGCACTGTCGTAAATATGCTCAGCTGTTCTCCTGGTTTCTCCGTCAAGCCAGGCGCGGTTGTTTTGAGCTTAGCAGACAGGCGAACGCAACAAATCACCATGTCTACTGCGGTAGAGAGCCCTTTTCCTCTTTCTTGCCATGGGCTTTCGCTGTTTTCTCGCTGGTTCCGCCATGATAACAACAAATATTGCCACTGTGCTAGCAACGAGCATGCCTTTCACTGGGGGCGTGTAGCATTTCTCGCCGTAAAGCAAGACAGACTCTGGCGATGCAGGAGACTTCTGAGCCTGTGGGTGCTGGCCGAGGGCTCCTGCAATTGCAAGTACGGCATTTCCCCTACAGACCACCAGGGCGGCAGAGAAAACCTTTGTTCGACCTGAAATGACTCATTTAATCATCCAAAACGTTATGGAACACATTAATTAACTGAAAAATGTTGTATAGTATGCCTTTAAACTGATCCTTTCAAGCCTGTAGGGGGAGCACCACTCAAAAATATCAGTTTGCAATTACAGTTGCTTTAACTATTTGCAGCTCTCCTGCAAGGGCATCAAAAATGGGGGAAACATTTTTTACATTGACTCTATGGGCCAACGATTGACAGGGGGCTGTGATGCCCATTAAGCAATTATAATAGTGACAACATAGTATGGCACTCAGTAATAAGCTTAAAAAAATAAATTTTATTTATATTGTTTGGCTAACAACTTATTTGCTTTAGAAACATTTCTCACTGCTCACCTTCTCTCTTGAACTGCTTTTCCTTTGTCAGAATGCAGCAGCGCAGGCAACTTTTTCACAAACATCAAGTCGATTACAGCTTGCTTACATTCCTCCTCATATTATGAAGAAAATACATCTTTTAATTTGTACTGCTTTGCTGTAGAAACAGAGAACGTTTCTTGTGTGCAGCCTAAGGGACTGCTCTATATGCAATCAGGGAAATGTTTAGATTTTCTGAAAATTAGAAGATTAAACAGAAACAACCACATAGCCTCATATATGTATTTTTTCACCACAAATCTAATGCCATCTCATGTTCAAGGTCTACAGGTTTGGAGATAAAGTCCTTGAAAGAGAAAGGCTGAGCAAGGGTCAGTGATTGTAACTGGGGTTGCAAGAGGATGCTTGCAAAAGACATTGAATCTTTTACATTCCTTGATATATTATAACACTAGTTTTACCTTTAATATGTTTTTATTTATTTAAAGAATGACTCCCAATCATGGTTGGAACCACAGTGGTTCACTTGTGGCCCTTTTATAATCATTACAATTTCGTTACAATACAGTGTACAATGAGCAGTCCTGATATGTTTTGTTTATATACGAGTATGTCTTCGCATTAGAAAATGGTCCCCCGGGGAAATGTATGTATTTTAACGGAATCGAAACCTGAGTCCACTTTGACATACTGCCCAATTTGATGCCGGTGTGCTAAATATTTCCTTATTTATTAAACCAACAGCAAAGTGTAACTTCACGTGATGCTCGACACTCGTCATTTTAGGGAAGAAAATGCTTCTTGTAAGAGTTGTCATAAAGTACAACTAAAGTATTCTTTTAATATTGGGAAATTTTTCTCATAATATTGCAACTTTATTCTCATAATATTAAGACTTTATTCTCGTAATGTTACAACTATTGGCGTTGCGACTTTATTCTCGTATGTTATGACCCTGTTCTTGTAACTTTATGACTTTATCCTTGTAATGTTACAACTTTATTCTCGTAATTTTATGACTATTTTCGTTGTGACTTTATTCTCATAATTTTATGACTTAAAGCTACAGTGTGTAACTTTTAGTGACATCTAGCTGAACTACATGAACATCTCCCCCCCACCGCTTCTCCCCCCTCAACAGTACGGCGAGCGTTACGGGACAAAATGTCTTCCACGACGTCCGCATCACCTACCTTCTCAAGTGATGAGGTTTGTTTACATAGATAAT